TTTTGTAGAAATCAACTCTAATCAAAACCAGCTGTTCTTTAAGGTCTAGCCTGAGGTACTATTAATACTGTTTAGTGTCACCTGCCTTTGATATTTTTCAATAAGTAAGTGCTGTCTTCTAAGTTTTATAATGCACAGCTCCAGGCTCTTGTCCGAGGAGTTATTTGGACATTTATACAGATAAAAGGCTCTTTTTCAGGAGTTTAGACCAACATGTGCTCTCATGAGTAGTCTTTCTCCACAGAGAAGAAGGATATCTCTCCATCTGGGTGGCAGTAAAAACAAGACTTCAGTTTCTACAATAGAATATCAGTCATCTTGACTTAAAGTATGTACAGAAAGCACCAATAGCGTGTGTGTGTGTGTGTGTGTGTGTGTGTGTGTGTGTGTGTGTGTGTAACAGTGGGGATTAAACCAAGGGCCTTCACCCTCACCTACAAACCCAATCATTTTATTTATTTATTTATTTTTGACACATGGTCTCACTGTGTTGAGGATAAGTTGGTCAGGCTGGGCTTGAATTTGTGATCATATTGCCTCAGTCTCCAGAATATAGTGTGCATCATTGTGCACAAGTCTCTTAAAATTAGTTTATTCCTACACCAGAAAATTTAAATCAAGACCTGATTTTTTTTTTTTGTCTTTTTCCTTTTTATCGGTACCAGGGATCGAACTCACGACTGCCTGCTTGCAAGGCAGGCACTTATGCCGCTGAGCTAAATCCCCAGCCCCCAAGACCTGATTTTGATGCAGCAAAAAATTGACATTTTTGATATCTATTTACTTCAAAACATACAATTACTGTTTTTATTTCATTCTATGCCTATAAAATTGTACATATTTATTTCCTGGGTATACACTGATATACATGTGCATGTATTTCATTGTTTTATAATTATTAATACTGCAGTGGTCTTCTTTGTACATTTCCTTAGACACCTGTTAAGAGGCAAGTACAAAGGGAAATAAGGACATGTTTCATTTTTTCCAACTGCATGTATTGATTTATCATGAGTTACAAAATAATCTGTGTGTCATTATGTGCTGTTCTTGTTAAAGTGAAATAAAACAGACACTATATCACGGTGCAGTTATGAAGGGTAGTTATCTTTTCCCAGAACTGTTAAATATATGTATGAAAATGTACTGTGCTACTGTGCAAAACATTTTTCTTACCGTAGGTTATAGTAAAAAGTTCTGAAAGTACTTGTCTTGGGTACTTTTCTCTCATTGCTGGGACAAAATACCCAGTACCCAAAATTAAGGAAGGCGAGGTTTATTTAGCTCAGTTTGTGAAGGTTTCAGTTGGTAATCAGCTGGCTCCGTCGCATGGCACACTTCAGTGCAGCAGAAGACAACAAACACAGCAAGCAGAAGGGGGATGGGGACAGCAAGTCTCTTCCTCCCTCATACTGCAAGCAGGCTACCACCCACTAGGGCAGGTGTAGCATTCCCACCGTCTCCCTCCCCTCCTCTTGCACAGGATGAGGATGTTTACAAAGTGAAGGCCCTGGCTCCCTGCTGAGTTGCTTCATTAAACTTCTAAGCATCTCAAATTGACAAAGTATCAACCATTACAGGACTGTTCCATGAACTACACATAGAAGAAATTCGGAATAACAAAATATCCACGTTTTCAACCTGACTTGCTAATAACAATCCAAATGACCAGTAAATTTATGATTGTATCAGGAAGTCAGCAAATTCCCTTTACACACAGCTTCAACTGCTGGTGGCCTGACTTATTTTTTCCAAATGTAATGGATTTTAAATGATACTTCAATCTTGTTTCTATTTGTATGTTCCTGATGCTCTACTGAGGTTGAACATTTTTGCAACTCTGAATTGTCTAAACATACTTAAAAAAACTTTTGTATTATTTCTCGTTTTACTTAATTCCTTGTATTTTCTGGATATTAACCCTCGTCTCTTGTAGAAGTCATAGGTTCCCCCCCCCTAATTTAATGCTTTTCTTTAATTCTGTGGTGTAACCAGGCATGCAGAAAAAAGTCTTTTACATACAGTCAATATGATGTGTGATTCTGCACTTCACTGGGAAACAGACTCAGGACCTCATGCTTGTCAGGCAGGTGCTGTGCCGCTGAGCTAAATCACCAGCCCCAATTCTGCATTTCTTATCTTAAATATCCATCTGTTTCCCATCAGATGGGAGAATATCAGAATATTCTCCTATTACTTCCTAATAATTTTCAGCATTTGCTTTTTTTCATTTAGGTCTTCAGCCCATTTGGAATTTTTGTTTTATTTTATTACGGTGTTAAGAAACACTTAATTTTGTCTTCATTGATATGAAATTCAATTTTTCCCATCAACAGGCCATCTTTTATCAACGCCAAACTGTTACATGCACTTGGGCTGCTTCTGGCCTCTCCTGACTGTTCTATTGATCTCTTGTCTACTGCTGACCAAAACTACAGCCTCCTAAATTTTTGTGTCTTGAGAAGTCTAGTTCTTCCTGTTTGCGCTTCTCTTTTAGGGTAATCTTAATATTTTTAGATATTTATTTTTGTATGTGAATACTAGAACTATTATAAGTGCCATGTAAAAAATTCTTGTTAAAGGTTTAATTAACATTGTCCCTGCCTGTCAACACCTCTGCTAATATAATACTTTCACAGAGACACCAAAGACTTCACTGCTGAGAATCCCAGCAGAAAACAAAACAAATAAACAAAACAAAACAAACAAACAAAAAAACCAGCCTCTACCTTATGTCCACAACGTCCACACTTCAAACTCCATCAGCATCTGATTGAAGCAGGTTTTTTTTTTTTCCTTTTTTTTTTGGTACCGTGGATCAAACTCATGACCTCACGCTTGCCAGGCAGATGTTATGCCACTCAGTTAAATCCTTGGCCCTCAGCATCTGATTGAAACTCAACTGAATCAAGAAACCCACCTACATGGCAGTTCAAGAAATACACATTTGTAGCTTTAAAGCTTTTGTGATATGAAAACAAAAAGCAGAACAGTAAGTTTCAAACTATGGACTACAGATCATGGAATCATCTTGTAGGTAAAGCATGGAATTTATAAAAATGAAGTATAAATTTTATAATCTAGGTTATCAGTATGCTTAGCAAGAACAACTATTGTCTTGTAAAGCTGTGCACACATTGTTATACATGTTTTTATATATTTATACATGTTGATATGTATTTATGTTTTTATACATAGATGTTTTATATATGTATATATTTGTAAGGACAGAAGGAGAGACATATAGAGGCAAAGAAAGAAAAAGTATGAATATATAAATGTTTCTTACTATGAGTTGGGATCAAGTCTGAAGGTGTAGGTACCAGAAAGGGATCAATTCCCAAATCTACCTCAGTAGCTCATATTTTGCTAAGGAAGCTTCTTGTATTCTTCACATGGTAGTAGCTTTTATTGTGAATAAATTTTGAGTTTTGTCAAACAATCTTCATGTATCTACTGAAGCAATCAGAAGGTGCTTCTTCTTTGACGTACTATACTGATAGATTTCCTAAGGTGTATCGTCTTTGCATTCTTCTCATTCTAAAACTGTTTTTGGGTACAGTTTGCTATCAATTCTGTCCCATACATTACCTATGATTTCCAGCAGGTAATGTATTTGTCAAAGATGCATATCTCAACACATTCTATAAAAACAAGAGAAAAGACCTGTGTTTTGTGATCCTTTATTAAATTCACAAGAATTTGAAATACCTGCATCTTATTTAGTTAAGAAAAATCTAATCCTTTCCAAATATATTTACGATTTAAGGACCAATGATAAAAAATCTGTATGAAGAAATAAGTCCTACTGAAAAGCAGTGTTTTAATTCTGCTATAATGGTGACAATTATTTTAACATGTATTTGTTAAGAATACAAATGAGCCGGTAAAAGTATCTTCACCCATGTTCACCATAAAAACATTTGTTCAGGTTATGGTCACTTAAGCAGTACTCCAGAAATTTACATTTTCTTATTCATTCCATTTGTTCATTTTTAAATGTTAAAGAATGTCTATATTACTTGTATACAAAAGATAATCATCAGCTTTTCATTAGGCCATACTTTTTAGCTCACAAAACCAGAAAACTGCAACATGGTTTCCTACAACAATACCACATAGTGGTATGCAGTGAAAATTCTGAATGAACTGTTAGTAAGACTTTTGGCCCTGGAAGCCTTGGCATTTTTTAATTTGTCTTACATTTCTTCTGGTGCTTTTTAAGAGAAAAGAAATTTATCTTGAATAAAATGAAAAAAGCTCAACAGGATACTTTTTACAAGTCATCTACACAAAGTATGCTACTACCAGTTAAAATTTTTCTAATGATTTATTTTATTTTATTATTTGTTTGATTCTTTTGACACAGGGAGTTGCTATACAGTCCAGGCTGGATTTGAACTCATGATGTGGCATAAGCTGGCCTGGAACTTGCAGTGATCCTCCTGTGTCACCCTGGCAAATGCTGGGACTACAGGTGAGCACCATCACATCCTGGTAGTTTTCTAATAATTTAATCAGTGCACGTTTGCACATGTGCAATTTTCTACTATGGATATTCTCAATAGTTACTCCAAATGGAAAAAATGTTTTTTATAAAGACAGTAGAAATAAAAAAACAATAGTTATTAAACTTTTGCCAAAGGATTATTTAGAAGAAACAAAACTTAATGATACACCTGGTATCAGCAGTTGACTTATTAAGCAACACATATTCAATCTGTGGGTTCCTCTCTCCTTTATTCTACTTCCTAGCTAGGAAAAGAAGAAACCCAGGAACAGAATTAGCTGAACTGTCATTTATGTAGCCCAAGGCTGAAGGAACCTCAATGTCTAAATAGAGACAGACTCTCAATTAGATTCTCATAAAGAGGGGAGCTATAAAACCAGTAGTTGGGAATTATGCTGGGTCTATAGGTGACATATTTTCTAACTTCTAGTTTCCAAATTTTGGGTTGTATTTCTATTATAATGATAAGACAGCTCTACACAACCAAAAATTATTAGTTCATCATTTTATTTTAAATATTCGACTATTGAACACTTTTAAGTGACTCTGTAAGTTCTTCCTGTCTTCCTCTTCCAATGGTGGGGAGATCTCCATTTTCCAGAGAAAAATAAGAATTTCACAGTTTAGATGGGTCCGATTTGCAAAAATGATCACTGGAGGAGTGTCACCATTTGCTTGATGGTTAAAAACAGTAATGTTTTTCAGGTCCTTGCTGGGTCTAGACCAGCACTTTGGGCACAGCAAGGAGAAACTGAGTAACAGAGATGGCTCCTGTTTCTGAACAGTTCAATACAAAATCAAGGGCAAAAAAAGAACATAAACACATTTTAACAAATAACAAGGTACAATGTATATAATGCAAACCAAGATGTCCATATGGAAGAGCACAAGTTCTTCAGTGTTGTGCAAGCCCCTTCTTGTACAATACTGAAAACAAACAAACAAACATAAAATTGCCAAAGGTAATTCCCCTTATTAAAAACCTTATCTTTTTTTAACATCCAAGTGTTCAACATGTTGCTTTTAACCATTCTCTACCTTTATAAAGCTTTATTGTTTACTGTGCAGGATTTTGAAGTTATTGCTGTATTAGACTTTCAGAAGGAAATTTTCCTGGAGGTACTTATAATTGAAAACTAAAGGAATCACATAATTTAAGTATCAAAGGGAGCTACCGGGCCACAGCCCTACTTCTGCCTCTAGTAAACTGTTCTGGTTCTTAGTAGTAACTCAATAATGTAATCAATGCACATATGAACATGTACACATTCTCTACCATCCTGGAACCAAAGGGAAAAGAAACTAAGCAACAGAATGGAAACCAATCTGAGGACTTGATATTAGCAGCTGAGAAAAAGCCAGAGGGCCTTGTGACACCCACACAGTCTCTGAGGACACTTTCTTCTATGCAAAATTAAATGCTGACATCCACCTACATCTGAAGATTTCCTGGTGAGCAAGAGCAAGTGGTAGTGGACAGAGGTCACACATGATATGAAGTTACAATTTTAAGAACAGTTTATTTAATCCCACTAAAATAGTGAGAAGTTTTACTTATCTGCTTCTAGATCACAAGGAAAGCAAAGCAGTGTCATCAAACTTGTGAACACAAATCAGGCTCCTGCCCTGGAATGTGGACCAGAACTATATCGCTGGAGGTCATGATTCTGCACTGAACTTCAGATGTTTTTTCCTGATGAAATATCTTCTCCAACTTCCTTTGTACTTTAACAAAAATCATTCCGTGCTGAGTACCACCTGTGTACGCTGGAGCCAAACTTGTCTTTCTCAGCTCTCTGAGGCTCATGGGAGAACCTGCCTTGGTCAGAGGCATAAACGACGGTCCTTTGGTTTTGATCAGGGAGCTAGGGCTCCTCACTTTATCATCTGAGTCTCTTCATCTGCATCATAAAACTCTTCCTCCTCCTCACTCTCACTCCCTGAAGTCCCCTCCTTGTCAGCAACCTGAAATGGGAAAGGAGGAGAGGCAGGATTTCTAAAATGAAAAATTATCACCTACATGTTCAACTGACAAATGAATTTTTGTGACATCTACTTCCCTAAGGAGCAGCCCCTAAGTATTTTAAAAATCTAATGGATTTTCAGTCATCTTTTTATTTTTTTGAACATCACTTGCTGTTAGATTTCTACCGCTGCTTTCCATTCTATTTAATCTAACCCCAAAGACATTTTTTCCCAACAACTGTCACCATCCAAGCAGAAGCTGCCAATGGATAGGAGGAGCATCAACATACTTGCGGTGTATCCAAGGTCTGCAAAGACAGGGCTTCCTCTCCTAGCCTCCGATAGGAGTACACCTGAAGGTCAGCAAGTGTCTCCAGCAATGGGCTATTCAGAGTTTCTGGCAATAACAAACTCAGGAAGCCTGAGGTCAGGCCGGTGGCCCCAAACACAATGAAGGGTAAAGACCACTGCACATATTTCTGTAAGGGGATGGTGCAAATGAAACAAACAAAACTCAGGGTCAGTGAGTGTCCTCATCAGATGACGTCAGCAGTCCTATGACTGAGAACTGCCACAGCTTCTAATTTATGCTTTCCCACTAGACTATACTTTTTCTTTCACTACAGAGAGCTACCATGGGAAATTACGGCATGTAGAGACAGAACCGGGTAAACCCAAAAGCACACGGGAGGGCAGACAGGAGCATTGGGCTGTCTACTGCAGAGAGTGGGCACATGGGAGCTGAGGCCCGGCTGTTTCTGAGCGGGACATGTCCACAAGGAAACCTTGTGTCCAGCTTCCATTCCAAGGGAGTAGCTTATCAGTGACCTCCATACCCTCTTCACACAAGAGACACCCCAAAATTTTTGCTAGCAATAAGCTTTAATCCTTTGGCAGTTGCAGCTGATAGGAGAGACTTCTTTGAGGTTGAAGTTCTCAATCCTGGAGTCTGTCCAAACCTCCCACATACCATGGCTCCATAACAGAGAGGCCCAGAAATGAAAGGAATAAAAACTGAAAAAGTCGTCCTACTACATATATAGTCTGTAAGCTACTTGAATTGGAATGGTAAAGGTGAAATGGCAATTGTTTCACAGTCAAAGGATAATCTTAGGACAAATTCATATTCTCTTTCAACACCAACAGGTTCGAAAACAACGCAAGAAACAGTTGTGAGCAGGATGGTGCTTTGAGACCATTCCGAGAGGATTGAAATTCTAGAATTCTAGTACAGAGGTGCAGACTTCAGGATCTGCTTTGGCCTTCCAGATTCAGAGGGCACCAATTAGGATTTTATCTCAGACAATTTTCCCTCAGTTTTTTACAAGTGAAGGGATGATGGAGAAAGAAGGGGGAGGGGGTGCGAGCATGAAAAAGAGGGCAGGGAGGGACAGGAGAGTCAGGAGGGAAAGAGGGAAGAAGGAAGACAGGAATCTCTCATCTAGATCACCTACATGCAAAAACAGGTCCAGCACTGTGGGTGCTGCAGAAGCAAGCACACAGCGCCTTCCCTCCTCCCAGGAATCAAGGAGATGCAGAACTGGTGCTATAGTGTTAGCACAGCCACCTGGAGTTGGACAGTTTTAATAATATACGTCTAGGGTAGCACTCGTTGTGCAAGATGAAACACGGAACAAACATGACTCTTTCATAAAAGAGGTCTTGTGATCTAAATTGAGCAGGAGACGTGGAGGGAGCTACTCAGGAAAAGGAAGTATACTGTGACTCAAAAAATGAGTCAGCTGCCATGGCATATCAGAGACTTCCCAGACCAGGAAATGGTGAAATAACCTTCTTGAGTAATGACCAGTTGTCTATAGAGAAGGTCCACCAATCCCACACCAAATCTAGTCACCTTTCCACAAGTTTCAGCCCGGAAAATCCCACACTAGAGCAAGGAGAGACTTGCTGGGGCGCTGGCGTTCTTTCATAGAATGTAAGCATTTTAAGACTGGAAGACTTTCAGGGCTGTCATTTAATATCTCACCTTTAATTGGACTACAAAATTTAGAAAATACCAATGAATCTGAGCAGACACACATCCAGGCAATATTTCCTCTAGTTTTCTTTTTCAGGTGGTATGCTTTGGGGAAAGATGCTTAATCTATTTATGTAGCATTTCTCATTTGATTACCATGTGCATTATATACAACAATATGTATAAAGCATTTAATACAAAGTCTAACATGAAGCAGACACTTAACAAATACTTAATAGCTAACTTCTGAAGAGAAATCAGCTGACTCTCCAGTGAAAACAGATAAAGAATCAGACCCATCAGGGCAGAAGCATCCCAGTCTATCTGTCCTGATAGAGTAGTAGTCTTCATCTAAGATGTGCACGGTCCACATCTCTGACTTTTGACTTTAAAAGCTATATACTCATTACCTCTCTCTACGCTAAAACACAGGCATTTCCAAAGTGCAGAATCATGAAAAACAAAACAAGGAGGTACAAACCAACCAGTGAGGGGACGAAGGGAGCAATAATCCCACCAACTCGGGAGAACATGGAACAAGTTCCAAGCCCAACGTTCCTGAAAGGCATAAGGAAAAGTGGAATAAAAATCAGTGAGTTGCAGGAGGAAATGTAAAGACCCCGTAGAGAGGTGTAAAGGACCTGGACAGAAAGAACATGATGCAGGGCAAGCACAGGAACCCATACAGCAGAGCCATCTATGAGAACTCTCTCGGGCTGGAAATGTTCTAGGATTGCACTGAACATGGAGAGTCACTGAATAAGTGAAATGTGGCAAATGAGCATGAGGAACTAAATTTCTACCTTACCCAGTTTTGTTAAAGTTAAATAGGCACTTGAACATAGTAACTATCATACGGGTAGTACAACTCTAGAAAACAGTGCAAAAATCGGCATTTGAGTATTTCTTATCAAATATTCTCTCATATGAGGTTTACTATCTACTATCAATTAACATAGCTATGGAAAGAAAGGGCTTAATGGTCTGAAAAGCCTGCCCATTTAAACTCAACGAATTACCTATTAAAAAGTCAGTCATATTAGTAGGACTTAACTGGGCATTCACTGTCAGGAAACCTAGAATATTACCTGCATTGGGCTGTAGGCACAAAAGAGGTAAAAGGGAGGGAGAGAAAATGGGAATAAATTCTAGAAGGGTGACAAGACTTTACTCTGTTATCTCAGTCTAACTGTTCATAATGTCTATTTGCTGTCAAATGTTTTCTAGTGTAGACACTGATCCTAGTACAGCCTACAGTCAAACAAAAGGGATTGTAAGAACAATCAGGAAATGATGTGGTCTGTTGCTGGGAAAAAGAGATTTAAATCAATAGGCAGAAAAACCTTTAGTTTTCTCGCACAGGTAAGAAAGACAAAAGGTCCCTTTTGAGTGATCCTTATTCCACAAGGTAGTTCTACAAAACTTAAGCCACGCCCTATCCTTCAAATTTGGGCTTGTTTTTTGTTTTCAAACTGATTTTATGAAACTTAGGATGGAATATATTCCTTTTGACATATGCATAGCACATGCATTAAAAACATCTCTAACAACTAATATTTAAATTTAATATATACCTACTAGCATATGATCACTTAATATGTGCATAAATTGTGCCAAAATAGAGGCTATGTGACAAAAGGGACTCTGTTTCCTGGTCTGCTATATGTCTAACACTGGAATAGTGACAAAACGAATGAAATTCACCTAACTAAAAATGGCCTGGGGTTTGCAGCTCTGTGGTAGATGCTGCATAGTGTGCACAAAGCCTTGGATTTGAGCCTCAGCACTGCAAAGAATCAAAAACCAGCACCCACCCCTGCGTGGGTTGCAGGACATGTCTAGTGTAGAACACTTCTCTTACAATTTACAAGAGGGAATTTAGCTCCTGACGAAACTAGATTCCTCAGTCACACAGGTGGAGAGCAGTCTGCAGAGCCTGAGTTATAACTGCTGCTGAATTACTGCCGCTGCACTGACTCCTGAGCAGACAGGAGGAGGAGCTCACCCCACTGACACAGCAAACCCAGGAGGAGGTGCAAGCAGACACGTACCTGATGATGGTAGGGTAGAGTTCAGAGGTGTAGATGTAAACGATGTTAAAGGCAGCACTGATGGTCAGCTTCCCCAGCAAGGACAGGGTACGGCTGTTCACTACTGCAAACACCCCAGTGTCTGAGGAGGACATAGCAATCTCAGTGAGACCACAATGGGAACAATGCCTCTCAAGGACACATCTCATTCTGAAGGAGCCACAGGCATCCATGTGGATCTCAAATGGCAAGATAGTGGCACAACTGCACACACATTTGGAAGGTTTAGTAATCACACACACAAAAGCATGTGTAGTATTTTCTCAATGTCTTGGCTGTGCCCATGAATTCTGGCACACCGCTTGTCTCTCAGTGAGATAAAACCTGCATTCCTTCCTGACAGAGCCCCTGAAAACCACACTGGAGAGAAGAAAATACATCAATCAAGAATGCTACATATCTTTCCCCTTTCTTCTTTACCTTCTTCAATCACTAATATAAAACAGTGGTTAACAAAACCTCACCAACAGACAATGAAAACAAAGATGAGCTCCAGAAAACCTCTTACAAACAATTTAGAAGGGTATTTGTGTTAGCCAGCTTTCTATTACTTTATCAAATATATGAGATGATCAGGTTACAGAAAGGAAAGGTTTACTTTGGCTCAAGGCTTTGGTGGTTTCAGTCCATGGTTGGCTCGGCAGCTTTGTGCCTGTGGTGGGACGGTACAGCCTGAGGGAAGTGTATGCATTAGAACAACCAGCTGTGGAGGAGGTGAGAGAGACAGGAAGATGAAGGGTGGTGGTCCCTTCAAGGGAATGCTCCCAATGGCTTAAGTTCCTCCTACTGGGCCCCACCCTCTACAGGGTCTGCTACTTCTTAATAGTGCCCTAGGCTGGGGACCACGGTTTCAACTACAGCAGTGTGCTACTGAGAAGGTAAGGAATAATCTCACTAAATTACTACCAGAGGACACTAATGTTCTTTAAAGAACAAGAGATGAAACATGAAAACCTTCTAATCCTTCTCATTTATGTCATTAACTTATATTGCCATTTGAGTTTAATGTAATGTTTTTATATAAAATGCAAACAATATATGAGGCCAGTTTATTTCCTTATCAAAAATACTATCAATCAATTATCTTGTGGTTCTTATTAACATTGTGCTGACTAGGTTCTACAATTTGTTACTTCTCAAATGTAGTTAATTTCTCTCCTTTAAAAATCTATTTGTTTCTGGGGCTAGGGATTTAGCTCAGCGGCATAAGTGCCTGCCTTGCAAGTGTGTGGTCGTGAGTTCGATCCCCGGTACCAATAAAAAAAAAGAAAAAGACAAAAAAAAAATCCATTTGTTTCTATCTTCAAAATAACAATTTCTCAAAAAAAGAAACCCCACAATTCTTCTTGACTCTGTTGTGTTTCCTCCCTTTACCACCAAACACCTTCAGGATGTGACAACCATTCCATTTTCTCAAGTGCACCTGTCCTGTGACAGCAGGCTTGCTTCCAGTATCATCCTTTCCTAAAATTCCTAGTCTTAAAGGTCAGCAGCAATGTCCTAGCCATTGAAAGTAATCACTCTCATTCTCCTTGACATTTATGCCAAATTGAACACTTTTGTCCCTTTTCCTAGGACTGTGGGGCTCATATAAACCACTGTTAATTAAATAGCTCCCATGAAATATCTTCTCCTTCTTTTAACCTTCTATACCACAACTTTCCAATCCACTGAACTGGCATGTCTCAGATACCTTCTGTGGTTACTTATTTTTCTATCTTGCCTGCCCAAAATATATTTCAAGTTAGCTCAGGCTGATGCTGGTGTCTTGCATACTTCTTTTCTTTCCAACATCTCCCATAGGACTAGGCACACAGTGGTTCACCACTTGTTGAAGTAGGAACTAAAAATAGGGATTAACTTGGTGAAATGAATCTGTGTTCATGCTCTCAACGTCTTTGGAGGGAGGTATGTGATATGCCTGATACCAAAAACTAAGTTTCATTTTCCCTGCTTGAGCGTAAAATAAATTTTCACCCACTTTAAGATGGTGCCCTAATGCAGTCAGGCAAGCACTGCTAAATGTGACCCCTGGGGCTGCTGTCTCCTCTTCTGCCAGAATATTTGAAAAAAAAAACACACTAGCTTTGAAACATGAAGTTTTCTGGAAAAAAAAAATCAAGACTTCTAGCATTTCCTTCATGATTTATTTCTGGATCCTACAAACCCAACAACTTCTTCCATTAAACCAGTAATGTCGCAGATTAAATTTATCATTATTTTGCAGAAAACTGAGCCAGGAAAAATGATAGGGTAGCACTGAAGCAAACACAAAGCATACACATTTGCTTGACTGTGAACAGTCTTCAGGGCAGGTTTCCATTCATACAGGGGTGGTATTTTTAGAAATGCATGGAAAACATCTTTAACAATAGGATAGAGACTGCCATCTTGAAATTTACGTTCAGATGATGTGATACAGAAACTTTATCATCTAAATGTCCATAATGCAAATCAGGAAGAGTCCCATGTTAAGGCTCAGGACACTCCTGCCCTGAACATTTGGGGAGCCTGTCTCCGGCCACACACCCAGTAAATACCCCCAATAGTCCAACAGCCCATCTGCTGCTTGAAACTTCTCTCCTATGTTCCTGCCACCAGAGTTACAATCACCACGCCCACCATGGGAGCTTATGTCATGAGACCAGCTCTGTTCATGAGACCTTGCCTGTGCAGCTGTTGGGCTGTTGGTCTCCTGGGTTCTTCACCAGGGTACTTTACCTAAAAATCAGGTATTACCAGCTATTCCCAATGAATGCTCAAAGCTACTGTTCAAAAAAAAAAAAAAAGATTTAAAAGAGAAGAAAAAATCTAAAAAATGACTCTCAAAACACAGGTTACACTTCAAAGTTCTGAACTCAATGACCTTATAAATTTATTCAATATTGCATCTACTAAGGATGTAATTTCCAGAGCTAATTTTCTGACAGCCTTCAGGGACACTACAACAAATTATCTCAGTATTTTATAGTCATATTTCACTGGCCCAAAATAGCAAAAGTTTGTTAATCATTCACATCATTTCTTGGGTGACTATCACATGATTTTGATTGCTCATACGTTTAAAAATATTGATAAGAGCTTCCAGTTCTCCACTATCATACTTACGGTGGGCAAAGTACAACTACTTTGGCTTTCCTCTAACTTTGTTTTCAAATGAAATATCATACAAATACAAAGTTTTCTCACCATTCACTCTTTCTGGGGTTTCGTATGATGAAATAATATACTTCATGGACTTCTATGTATGTTTTTTTAAATGGCAAAATGATTTTGAAATTTAATCCTGTTTATGTGTATCAGCAGGTCACTTTTTTGTTGTTGACATTCCGTTGTATGGATGTAAAATAATGTGTTTACCCATTCCTCAGCTTGATGGGCATTTGGGTTCCTTCAAGTTTTGGGGGCTATTATTAACAATACTACTGTGAACATCTATCTCAAAGTCTTCGAGTTTCATTTCACTGATTTTTTTTCTGCTCTTTTATTTATTGTTTTCATCTTTCTGCTTGCTTTGTGTTTCATTTGTCTTTTTTCAGCTTATTGGTACAATTTAAGTATATATACATATACAATATTCATCAAAAGACATTCTTTTTAAAAATTGACTTGCTTTCTTAGGGTGAATCATTCATTTGAAAACTTTTTCTGACTTAAAAAATTATAAAAATTTTCCTCTAAACCTTGCTTTATACACATCCCCTAAACTTTGCTTCTTCTTTTTTTTTTGAGACAAGGTTTCACTCTGTAATTCAGACTGGTCTTGAGCTCACTATGTAGCCCAGGCTGACCTCCAACTTGTAGTGACCCTCCTGACTTAGCTTCCTGAGTGCTAGAATAACAGGTGTGCACTATCACTTTTGGTATTCCCTAAGTTCTGAATTGTATACTTTAGCAACTGCTCAATTAAAAGTATTTCCAGGGGTTGGGGGTTTAGCTCAGTGGCGTAAGTATCTGCCTGGAAAGTGCAACGTCATAAATTCAATCCCTGGTATCAAAGACAAAACAAAACAAAACAAAACAAAAATTCCTAATTTTATTTGTGACTTTTTATGATTCATGTGTTTTTAGAAAGGTGTTATTTAGTGTCCAAAGATTTGAGAATTTTCCAGCTATCTTTCTGTTATTGATTTCTAGTTTAATTCATTTTAGGAAAAAAATTACTTTTACAGCTCCAACCCTCTTAAATTTATTGAAACTTATGTTAATCCAGAATAGGGTGTCTCTTGGCAAATGTTCTGTGTGTATTTCAAAAGGAGTTTATGGGTAAGGTGTTCTACAAATCAACTAGCTTGTGTTGACTGTAAAAATGTCTGCCTATATTTTCTTTCTACCATTTCCATCAGTTACTGAGATAACAGTATTGATGACCCTAACTACAATTTTGGATTTGTCTCTATTTGTATTCAATGTACTTTGATCCTATTAAAAGAGGCACACATCTAGGCTACACATGCTGTAGCCTCTTGATAAAGTAATTAATTTCTTATATGTTTATAGCTTTTTGAATCTTTTTGCAATCATTTTTCAGATAGTTTTTCTTTACCTCTTCTGAGACTACAATATGAGAGACCCCTTGATACTGCTCCACAACTCACTGATGCCTGGTCATTGTTCTTTTCAATATTTTTTGTTTAGCTCTGAATAGTTTTTGTTATATGCTTATATTCACTGACCTGTTCTTAGTGTCTAATCTGCTGTATCATCCACTGTATTTTAGTCTCATCCACTGTATTTTTTCATGTCTCATCTCTACATGCTTTATGCCTTTTTAACACCTTTATTTATTCTGCTTATTGTGATCATGCTTTCCTTTACTTTCTTAAACATAAGAAGTCAATTCTACTTCTGCTTTAATTTTGTCTCCTCACTCTATAATCTGTGCCACTTCTGATTTTGATTCTGTTGATTTTATTTCTACTGTTCAAGGTATTTCCTGCTGTTTTATTTACTTGCTAATTCTTATTGGAGGTCACAAGTTGTGAACACTATATTACCAGGCTCTGGATTTTACTGTATTTCTTTAACTATTGTTTGGGCTCTGTCCTATGATGTAGTTAAGTTACTTAGAATCCAAATATATGCACAGATCAAAAGCAGCCAAATATGCAGTCTCCTTCTGCAGATTCTATGCATCTTACTCTTTTCCAGTGTTTTACCAGCAAATTCTAGACAACTTGGTCTTCCCAACCTTCAGTAAGTACTTCCTGAGTTCAGTAAGAGCATCAAGACTTGTCATGCTCTACGTCTTGCCTTGTGCCTCTGAGCTAAGTCATTCTTACAGTTCACTTTGATTAGTTTTCTTCTCTCAGAAATCACTGTACTATGCAGCCTCAAACAATGTTTAAAAATCTATATTTCCTACATGTATTTTGTCTGATTTTATACTTTTTTAAAACAAGAAGGTAGCTAGTGTCCATTACTATCATGACATTGAGTCCAAGTTCTCATAGCATTTTTTTTTTGCCAATTCTCCTATGGTACTGTGTTTTATTTTATGTTTTGATCACTAATTTCCTTCACTATATTATAAGCTCATTGAAGCCAGCAAGTAGATCTTGTTCATGAACAAAATCTTATAAATGAGATACTAGATACTAGAGAAGTCAAAAGAATAAAGAATAAGCAGACCAGGCTGAGGAAAGAAACATGACATGCAAGATTCCTTGGGTTGAATCTAGAAAATGTCCTTCATCTGTGATGCTTCTTTATCGTGGCAAATGCCTGAACTTCCTAGTGTTCAGAACTACTGGTGGAACCACAATCAATTGCCATAAGCTCCACCACTGAGAGGCCAGGAACACCGTGACAATGTAGGATTTGTAAACCCTGGCCAGCTGCATCAGGCCTGCCTACTGAAGAATTAACAACTGGTCTTATCTAGGTAGCATTACTTCATTTGTAATGACTTTCATGAAAAATCTCTAAAAAGGAAAAGCAGCAATCCCTTAAGAGTACTGACTTCAAGAGTCAGAAAGATCTGAAATCCCCAACATGCGTCTTACTTGCTGTGTAACACTAGACAGGTTGCTTGACTAATCTGAGCTTTAGTTTCCTTACATAACTGGAGTGATATAGAATATCATCTGCCTCAGGCTGGTTGTGACGGTAGTTTTGAGTTCTAGTTTTCAAGGCTGATTGTTTTCTACCCAGGTCTTATTTTTGAGAGAGGATTTAATACAACATTTTTAGTGCATCTGTGTTTTGAGTGTGACCCATAAATTCACATAAGTTCAGCTACAGAAATTTCTATTTGTGGCATGTCAGAGCTCAGAGTTTCAGATTTTAGAGCATTTCAGATTTAGAATTTTTGGACTGGGGTTGCTCAATTGTAATTATAAACCACAGCCTGCAACATGCCAAAAGATCTATTTTCTAACTTATGGGCTATCTCTCCTAGAGTATCCACAAATGTCCCAGACACAAAGAACAACAACCACATATAGATGCTAAAAAACAAACAGAGTAAAAGGATACCTACAGTTAGGCATGTGGGTACACACCTGTAATGCCAGCATTCTAGGAGGCTGAGACAAGAGAATAGCAAGTTTGAGTCCAGTCTGGACAACTAAGAGACTAAACAGGTCTCGTCTCAAAATAATAATAAAAATCAAAGCAAAGAAAAAGGGCTAGGAACATGGCTCAGTGCAATGGTTCTGGGTTCAATTCTCAGTACTGAAAAACCAAACAAGCAAAAACCCAGGGAGGAGTGCAGGAGGGGAGGACCTGAGTTGGAGGGAATGCAGCTGTGCAGGTGTGTTTGGTGGGAAGACAGTAAATGAGCACAAAACCCAGTGAGCTCACACAAAATGCTAGTAGAATTTTTCTAGCTATGAAATCTTTTTCTTAATTGGGAATTACTTGAATTTTTATAACACTTATCTTGAAAGTCTAAAAAGCAGATTTGAAAGAAAGCTAGAAAAATATTTTAAACAGCAAATATGAATGTCTTAAAGCAAGTTTAAAGAACAAAAACAATTTTAGCTTAAAGAAGAGAAATGCAAGAAAAGCTGGAAGACTCCCTGCAACTATAGAAAGGATTATGTCGGAAAAAAGACAAAGAAAAAAAGTGACCATCTGTTCTCCACGTCTAATGATGAATCAAGTGAAAGGAATGGGCTCAATTAGAGTGGAAGAGGCTCATTCTTACAGTAATGGCTATTAAAAATAGAAGGTAATTTACTCGGGATTATCATAGAGTTTATTTCCCAGAAAAATCTTTAAAAATAGACTAGATGTCCACTTTTTCTGAGCATAACAAAGATATTATATTCCTAAGGCACCTTCATGGAGCATGAAAGATACTTTATAGAGCCTTTTATCACTTGGAGTCCACCAAGAAGCACAATCAACAAAGAGTTCAAGAGGCTCTCTTAATACAGGGGCACTCGCTGTGCTCCAGATGGGAGTCCAGACATCTGTCGTCACCCTGGATTTTTGTTATTTACAATAAGGGGTACTTTCAGGCAGGGGCCACGCACAGAGTCCTAGGGGTGGGTTACCTGGAGTAGGTAAGGTAGGAGGGAGAAAAGACATGGACTGCCTTGGCCTATGGAGGTGGGGTGAGTTATAGTAGTGTTTATAGTAATCCTGCAAAGTTTTGCTCTATGATGAGATAAACAGAATACTGGACTGTTGTGGATAGAAACAACTGAATTCCCAAGGTGCCAACATTAAACACATTCTGTGAGCACAAAACTAGCATGGCTTAATTCCCATTATTTCCTGCTTCAGACAAAAACAAATAAACAGGGTATTTTATTCTTACAGTCCCAGCAGGGCAACTGAGGAGTTTCCTTCCACCAGCACAGGTGAAAGTACCAACACACTTAGAGGATAAGGCTATAAGCAAACTTAACGGAATTTTCTAGTTTTTATGATTCCAGGAAAATCACTGTTAGGCTGCTCTAAAATATGAAGCCAGATCTCTAATGAATAATCTACACTCTGGATTCAAGGTGCAGGACTTCAGAAGATGACCAAAGGGAAAGTATATTGGAAGGCTACAAAACAAGCACAGGCAGCCTTGCGGGCTCTGGAACAAGACACTGGCACAACACTACCTTGAGAAGTAATTTATAGGAGGAGCATTTGATGTGTGACATGCTTGGATGGGAAATGAACTCTTCATGCATTTCCAGTGGTTATCAAAACTTTACGTCAAACCATCTCATACTCAATCCTACTTGGAGTGCAATCTCCATTAACAGAACGCTAGCAAATTCCTAAAGCTCCCCCATCCAACAGAACTGATGTGGTGTCAAAGAGACATTTTTGAAGCTGTGCTTGCATAGCAAAGCTACAAGTATATAAAAATTCTTAAGTTTCCTAAAGATGCTTTGTTCACATTTTATATAATACTAAGAGCACATCTATCCAGTGAATATTACTCTTGGTGCCGTCATCACTGGGGTGCCTTGAGAGTAAAGATGGAAACACTGAGGGCTGCCAGCTTTCCACCCTTGAGACCCAATGTCTCTGAACTCCAGTTTGGTGATGGGCTGGAATGAGCAGTGTACTCTGCAGACTTGGATGAAGTTTTTCCTGAGCCAAACTAACCAGTCCTCATCATCAAACAAACAACCGTAGCATCATCATACTGCACCCCGGCTACCCCAGATGGTAGCTTAATAGCCTGCAAAAATTAATAGCACACCTCTAAACACATTATTCACCCAGAGAATACTTTCAGCAATGGAAAGAATCTGGCCTATTATACACCCCACACGATTGCTAAATAATATACAATCACAGAAATGAAGCATGGCATATGTAATCTCTCTACTTATTGAGATTCATTGTCATAAAAGTGCTGTTCAAAACTCTTGCAGGAATTTGAAAGGCATACCTTTCTTTTCTGGAAGAAACATTACGATAAGACAAGCCAGGCCTCCTAGACACAGAAATGCTGCTAAAGTCCGCTTCCGACCAGACCTAAGTAACACAAACAAATTATACATTTCTCTTAAGAATCTTATAAATTAATCTCCTCTTTCTTCCCAATCTTCCTTTTTAAATGATCTCAGTTTCATTAAATAGGGGAAACTTGCTGGATGAAAGGATTGTGATGTATACAAGAAAAGAATACACAATGCTTCCATTTCCGTGAGTGTTCACTATGTGCTAGTCACTGTTTTAAATGCTTTCCACCTGTTATCTTATTTAATCCTAAGAATAAACCCATAGTCATGTACCATTGCACTCCCTATGTTCCAGATAACGAAGCTTAAAAAGAGAATAGGGTCTTCTAGCTCATTTCATTTTCTAGTTACCTCAAATGTATTGAGTTAGAACTTTTAAACACTTTAAAAACTCCCTTTTTCTTAAAAATATAAGTGGGAAAATATTTCATGTTGGTGGGCTAAAATGAAGAGAAATACAATGAACACTGAAAAGTAATTTTAAAATCAGAGCACTAGACTTGAAAAAGACACTAACATTGTGTCCCTTTCTAGAGGCCAGGTACTCTGCTAGGATCTTCAACATTACATGTAATTTTGGTAACGATACTGGCAGGGGATCCGCAGTCACCAGCAGGAGGCAGCAGAGGAATCGGGAGCACTTTCCGAGACTAAAGCCTCCAAGTGAACAAAGCCCACACCTGCCACTCAAAATGGTCTCAGCTAGAACATCATGCCAACAGACTGAGTGCAATGCTAACGGAAGCCTGACTTGGGTTAGAATAATTTCTGAAGAAATGGCACAATCCAACCAATTCCAAGATTACACAGGACAGGATTTTTAGTTGTGTTGGTTGAAGACTAACCAGCAGAACTGATCTTTAAAAACCAGCCAAAAGGTTTCTCTGTAAAATAACTTTTTAAAAGGTATTTCAAAACTGTGCCATTGACCATGAGTGGCAAAAGCAGGATGGTTTCCTCCCCTCAACCAAATGGGTCTTAGGAAGTAAGAAAATTCTTTCTAATCCCCAAAGTTCTTTGTCTTCCTGCTCAACACATTACTGAGTTCATCATGTAGCTAATAATCTTCTGGGGTCTAACAACTTACACATAGACTACAGTGGTACCTCAGTTCATGAATACTTTTGTTTGCAAATAATTTGGTTTACAAACAGAAGCATCTGGCAAAATTTTGATTTTGTTCGCAAACTCTGCATTGACCATGGCCATCTTTCCCACAGAAACAAAAACATGGCTATCTTCTCCAAAACTGTAGAACAAATTAAGTTCCTGAACTGGGGTAGTATTGTACTCAAGACCCTTCAGAAGGCAGCATCTTTTAATACTGGGTCGAAAACTTTATAAAACCTGAAACACATGATAATCAAGAAATATTACACTAAAAAATGAATTGTAACTGAATTTGGTCTGAAAGAAACTAATCTCCATGGTGATTAGCGGATACTGACCATGAACAAACAGAACGATGTGCAGGTATTGGTGTATGTGAGTATGTTGAGTGGGTTACAAGTGTGTATTCTCTACGGGGCACTTTATTTCATCCAAACTCACCATTTCTGGTTAATCAAGTAGATGCAGAGAGGGTAGGATGGAATCTCTATGAGGCCAGACAGGGCCAGATTGGCATAAATATTTCCACCTAGGTCACCTGCACTCAGAGTGAGACCATAATACACCAAGCTGCACACAAACCTGCAGTTGGGGGCCAAGGGACCGGGATGTGAAAGACAAGAAGACAACAAGAACAAAAAGTACATAAGAAATTTCCAGAGAAGATTAAAGCAGCATGGGTTCAATACAGTACAATACAATCTACTACAAACAATAAGCTTGATAGTTCTGCTAAGCTTTTTGTCTTAATCATAGTATCTGTTCTAAGAAAAAACAAAAACATAATAGGGCTTTGGAAATGACTGGTACCTGTCTGTTTTATAAAGGAAACGGATGGCCAGCCTCTGCAAAAGGAAAGACATTGTGTTTTCTCAAGCATTTCTGCACTGAATAGAAAACAAAGACCTAACTCTTACTTTATTTAACTCAACAATTTACAGAACACTTGCTTACATAGGTTGTCATGGTGCTATTAGAATGACTCTGCAATCAGTCTCCTATGGAGCAAGCCAACAAAAGGTGACTGGAGCACACGGGCCAAGAAAACTCTGGACCTTCAGGGAGCCACCTGCAGACCTGAAATGACCAGCACTCCAACCACCCGGGATTCAGACACTTCTTAGCACAGGTCTTAGAACAGGGAAGAAAAGAGGCGGGTCACGGAGAGGCAGGCTCCTCTAGAAGGATCCACTGGGGATGGGCCCTCTGAAAAGCTCTTGATGTATTTGTGCACACCATTTCAGGAACACACTGAGGAATCAAGCACCTCCAGGGTGCAGGGAACACCTCCTATATGACTGTGAGTTGCTTGCCTGTCTCCTGGGCACTTTGGCATAAGGGTGAGTAAACTAAATTCATGTAGTGTTCTAAAAAATTTTTAAAAGTGCTTTCTACCTGCAGGAGACTTCACTCTTACACAATGCTATAGTATTTCCAAATGGGTTACCTGTGTCTGTGTGTGTCTATTCTGCATTTAAAATAGAAATCTCCCCCTACAAAAAAATATGCAAGTTTTCAGAAAGACTAATTAGAGGAAAAGGAGAGGACTGGGGTAGGGAGTATGAGAGGGAAAGGAGGGTAAAGCGAGAGATGGATATCAACAAAATATCTTACATTCATATATAAAAATACCACAATGAAACCTATTATCTATAATTAACATCACTGATAATAATTTTTAAAAGCCCAGCAATTCCAGTGAAGTAATTTCAGCCAAGAAAATATAACTATTTAAACAAAGTTGGTACAGTATCAAGGTAGGACAAGCATAAACTCAGCCAGTTCAGAACAGGGGAATTTCAGTACCAGTGAAAGCACAGGAGAGCACCGGGTCCTGGATGCCTTACTGTCCCCAAGGCTGGGCCCCTGTTCTAAAAGTTGCCTTTGTGGCAAAGCTGGTCCTTGAAATTCATAATCACAGCTATTAAAATCATTTCAATCCTCTTTATGTGCCCCAAACAAAATTTAAAGTGCTTGCATAATATTTAACAGTATATTTAGAGCATCAAAGAACTATTTAAAAGGCATCATGATAGGAAATAACCAAAGGCACAGATGTTAAACACAGAGGTATAATTTTACTCCCCAGTTAAAGCTTTCTTCAATGACAAATCCACAGGGAAGATTTTAGGATTTTACAGCATCTTCAAAAAGAACGCCAGTATCTACAATGACACTGCTTCTATTATTGCATATTTTAACATTCTGAGCCCAAGGGAAGAAGTTTATTTGAGAAGAGCTCCTTTGGCTGTGTTAGAAATAAACAGAGACAAGCTCCTTGGCCCCAAATTTAGATTTCAAAAAAATCTTCTGAAAGCCATAACCCAAATATATCTGGAAAAAATTTATATACCCAGAAAAAAATTAAACGTTTAGATTAAAAACAAAAACAGTACTTAATCTACACTTTGTTTTCCTTCCTCCAAGACAGAGAATTTGATTGTCCGTGAAATATGCATACAAGGGGCTTTAATGATCCCTAAGCATCTGAACATACTTTATAAGTATTTGCTTCTAAATAGAAAGAACCTCAAATTAGTAGCTCCTATGTTATGTTGCTGGATCTGCTTCTCAAAAGCTTTCTTAATCTTATGCCTCCAAGTGTGTGCCCTTCTTTCAAAATTTATCATGTTTCTGTGACTCTCCCACACTGTGCTGGTTCCATGGCAGTTGTTGGACAAGGCCCTTAATCATACAGGTGGAAATCAGTGTGGGGGTAGGAAAAGAGGACACGGTACAGAAATAGCTTTCCAGTTTCTTATTCTCAAGCAACTTCTCTTTTCAGCTTTACACGTATAAGATTGTTTTCAAATGAAGTCACCTTTCCTTATCCTCCCATGAAAGTGTAGGTTCCTATACACCCTTCATAGTAAATACTGTACATACCAACACAGCAGAACCATCCGTCGGGCCAGTGCATATGATGATCCTGCCCAAAACTGGACCAAATAACATTTACAGCATTTTAACAGAATGTACGTTTAGTCTATAAATTGTATGTCTCCATCTATCTTACCCCTTTCTACACTTTATCCTTTACGTGAACTGATCTGAAACCACTGACTACAACTTATATTAGCCCTGAGAGCATTTTCAGAGACAGGCAGCATGAGAAAATCAAGAGCAGGGAATGCTAATCACTGATTTGACATCTAGCTTTGAATTCACTGCTTCAGACTCCTGGAATCCCATCTGCAGAAGTGATGACATTTCCCTCTTGAGATGAGTTAGTGAACCAGATACCAAACAAACTGTGGTCCCAGGACTGCAGCTGGGATTCACTGAGAAACTGCTTAATGCTTCAGCTCAAAGTCGGTACTTCGAAAGTCCTGTGTAGAAACTGTTCAGTTTCTTTCTTGCAGCCCCCTTGAGGGTGGGGTCTTAAATATTTGTGTCTCATGAGCAAAGATGTGTTTCTGATGTGTATTTACTCAAACTCAATAAACCCACCCAGCAGGCACCATCATCTGCTGAGAAATAGGGCTGTGTATGCAGAGGTGTTTTCAGGTACTAAGGAACAGGGGCCTCATTTTGGGGAAAACAACCTCGTGCTGACAAGAGATAAAACTCTGTAAGTCTGAAGATGGAATGGACTATCAACAGGCTAGAGCAACCTTGTGTTGAAGATCAACAAGGCTCCACCCACATATACCCACCAGATGAACATCAGGATCAAAGTGTGTCCTAAGAGGATCCGGTAACGGAACAGATCCAAGACACTCCCGGTCTCCCTGCAGCTCCTGTTGGCCGGATGTGTGAGTGAGAATGTGCACTTAAGCCTGCGGTTCCTCTTGGCAATGAGGTAGAGTGCCTCTTCTGCCTCACTCAGTCGACCCTGGGAGTACAACCAACGGGGTGATTCAGGAATGAATCTGAAAGAGATGTCATTAAAGGCTGTGTATTCATATAGGTGCACGTGCAGAGGAAGGAGAGAAATCACCCTCTAAATGCATGCAGTCTTTCACCACAGCTGGTTTGGATCTTATGTTTAAAAGCATGATTCTCCCAATGAAATATAAACCAGAAAGAGAAAAATAGCTACTTCCACAGCGTCCCAATGTTAAGGTACCCTTATTTATTATTGACACAATACAATGCTTCTAAAACACCATTAAAAAACTAGTTTGAATTTTTTTTTTGTCTTGTTCATTTTTATCGGTACCAGGGATCGAACTCACGACTGCACACTTGCAAGGCAGGCGCTTATGCTGCTGATCTAAAGTCCCAGCCCCTTTAATTTATTTTTATATAAAATTATCTTATATTAATTAAATTAAAGAAAATTTAAATTACCCCTTGGCAAGTCTGTAGTACTAAATAATGTAAATTTTTCATAAAGTACAGATCAGGAACACAGATCTAAATCCTAGCCAGTTGTGGTTAGAAAAATACAGCAGAGGTAATAGATTTTTTATATTCTGAGGATATAAATTTTTTAACTCATCAGAAAAACAAATGTTTAACAAGTCAGAGTTTTTAACATAGTGACATGTTATTTATGGAGTAGATTTTTTAAGACTATGCGTAGAAATAAATAAAAGTTTGTTACATCTCAGCTATTTCTTACTGCTTCAAATATCTGATCACCCAGCACACCAGCTTTATTATGCCCTAGTGACCTTTCATGATCCACCAAGACCTTAAAGAATAAAATTATTTTCAGGTTAATTTCTAGACACTAAACAGTTATTTGCTAATACAACCATAAAATACTGTCACTGCTATCTTCACTCAATTCTAAGGCTTAGACATTATCTATTTTTCTGTCTGTTTACCATGGTGGAGGACTTCTCAAAGACAAAACGATGACAGGAACATGGAAACCTTGTTTATTAATATAACATCAAGTGTTCTTTGATCTAATTTGACATTTTTGGCCTAAAATAAAACCTGGAGGAATAATATTAGCTGTTTAAGGGTATTTTTTAGAATTTCCTGTGCCTTTTAAAAAGGACAGTGAATTAGCAACACACACTATAGGCTTGGATGCTTAATGGACAGCTCTAGTCTGTCAATAACCATTTACTGAGTGCTTCTATTTTGTACAAAGCAATGTAACAGATACTGAGAGGCAAATATCACAAACCAAAATCCAGAATTTTCCTAAGAGTTTTGTTGCTGGGGATGAGAGTACTTATGCATAACATTTGACTGTGAACCAAACTATGGACAAAGCCTACCTACACAATCTTGGAAAAATCCCTTTATTTACTTCCTCACTGCCGTTTGATCACATTACTTACATGCAAATGAAATAACAAGGAAAAACACTATTCTGTTGAAAGATGCCTGGTAATCAACCGGCCCTACCTGTGTACACAGCCACACATGAGCTACTACCTGATTATATCACCTGATTAAGTTTTAAAAAAACAAGATATAAAAGTGTTGTGATGGCTACATAGTGAAAATATATAATAATAAAAAGTAAATCTAGGTAGAACTGCAAGGAGAAAAAAGAACCACTAAGAACTATACCAAAATATTACTGGACCATTACCTTTGGGTAATGTAAATCATCCTTGCCACCTAATAAGCTTCTCTATATTTTCAGAATTGTTTAGAAGCATAAACTTTAATTTTAAAACTTTACACACCATCTTTAAACATGATATATGAAAGATGTTCAGGTTTTGGAAAATTGATTTTTCCCTGGAAAAGATTTATTGTGATCATGCAAATTCAGGACCCTGTATTTCTTTGCATTTTTAGAGAGCAACAGTTCACTTACACAAATTTTCCATGAAAATTACACATACAGAACAGTAAGATATGTTTTTGAAAGAAAAAGCAGGCCTTTAAGCACTCGGCCTTTCGCAGAACAGCATGCCTACCTGAGCCATGGTCATCTCTGAAAATGCTAACTTAATAACATTTCTTCTGCTCAAAAAATTCTCTGAATGTCCTTAAAGGTGGCAAATCTTTGTAAGAGGGCAGTGGTTTGCAGAAAAAATAAAACTACTCAAATTCAAATATTGTGAAAATAGGAATTTTAAAACTAGGTAAAAACTTTTTTGGTAGGCACACAAGCATAACCCTAAAATAATGGCGCTGACGGCTAAATACGATAATGATCACAAATGTTTGTTCAGTGCACACAACAAATCTACCACGTGGCTTTGGTGCTAGGGGAAATACAACTCCAGAAAAAGAGCCTTCTGCTGTCTGAGGGTTCTGGGTTTAGGGAGATGGGGCTCCAGCTGAGGCAGAAACACAAGGGCCACACAAAGGGTCCATGTTACCTGGTGAGGAGTCCATTAAAGAAAGAATGGCTTGTAATGGGTGTGTGGCCAGCAAAAGCTTAGGGAGGATGGCAGTTCAGCCATGGGGGTGGCTGAGGATTAATTAAAGAAGCAGAACCGGACAGGAGGGCATGGCAAAGCAGGCACAGTACTGGGTAGAGTCAGGAGCAGAAAAACACAAAGTGCTCACTGGGAACAAGGTGCAGCTGGGTGGTCCTGGGAGAAGGGTGGACACCAGGCAGGCCAGAGGAAAGATATAGCAGAGGCCCTGTTCTCAGCTTAATGGAGTGAGTCCGTATTTATATTTCACCTGTCTTTTCACTTCTAGTTTCTATTGTGTATGAGCACAGCAAGGAAATGAATTTACGTCCATCGAGTACTAAGTAGTAACTAACTCAGGTCACACACAGAAAAAGAAAAGCAGAATGACTCAGGACTACTGAAGGAGAGAAGAGAGCCAGGCTGATTGGAGAAGTATGAGCTTCATTAAGTACTTGAAAGAAAACTCATTTGTTCACAAGTACTTATGAACGCTTATTAACTCAAGATACTATGTTATATATCCACTTATCACTTTCAAAAATGCACAATATATAAGCTAACAAATTACTGCTATTATTTCTACTGTGTACTAAACAATGTTCTTGCTTTCAAAGATAGTATGAAAGCAAATTTCAGTTCAATCTCTACCAAATCTCGATTAAAAAGCTAAATAAAAACCACTACCTGAATTAAAATATCACCAGAAGTACTGTTTTATTTTGTGCCACTTTATGGCACAAAAGAATGTTGGTACCATAAGCTGAAAATTTTGTTTATGCCAAAAATTTTAATGATTAAAAGTAGAGACCTGAAACCTTAGGGAAGAAAATCTTTTCAAAGGCCACATAAGAACTTGTGGTAAAATGGGCTAAAGTAGGTGTGATTTTTTTTGGCAGTTATTTATGCAGCCCCTCTTTGACCAGCGAATCATCCTCTTAATACCTTGAGTCTCTGTACCCTAAGAATTCTTCGAATATCTGGCACTCATCCAGAGTCTACCTGTAAGGTCCCTGAGCTGAGACTTGTCTGTAGGATGGAATGTTGTCACTATATATCCAGTCAGTATAAATATCTGACTCTACAATATCACAGCTTAGTCACATACCTAGCCCATGATCTGATCAGCATTATGATCTTTTTTAAGGGTCCTGGCAATCGAACTCAGGACCTCACACTTGCCAAGCAGGTGCCACACCACTGAGTCAAATCCCCAGCCCCCAGCAGGACAATCTTTTAGCTTTAGGTATTAGCTTTAAGAAGAAATTGATTTGGTTAAAATTCTGAAGGATAAAATGCAGTCTATTGATAGACTGCTTTAAACAAAGGGTACCTGCATTCTGAATTAATTAAGCAACACCTCTCTTCCCAAGAGCTGTCAAGAGTTGAAACATTGCTTGCAAAGTTTATCTCTTCCCCAAAGTCAGGAGAAGTAAGCCCCTGAAAGGGAATAACCTCTATGCATTTACCAAAATTCTCTAGATATTTGTTCCACTTACTAAATTGAAACCCTAAGAAGAAAAACTACTTACAAAGATAAGAGAAAGACCATTGTTCCCTGTAGATTGACCAGAACAGCCAAAGTCCTCCAGGAGCGAATGAAGTATCCTAACAGGGCATATTGGGCGATGCCAATTGCAAAGAAGAGGCCACCAATGGATCCTAATTCAGGAAAAAGAAAACTGTCACTGGAGAAGGCATCGTTTGCGGCACGATTTCCAATCTCGTCATAGAACTGATCCCCGCCTTGTGAGATTCCAGCGAGAGGCAGAGTATAAAGGAAAACTCTACACCACAAAGGGTGATCATAAAATATGGTGAATTTAAAATTTAAATGGAATTTTAAAATTTAAAAATAGTTCAGGAAAGACACATTGCCATTAAGTCTCTCTCAAAATACTCTCTCCCACCCAAACACACTTTTCCCATCATTCTTGCCACTTTCTGAAGCAGTTTACCTTTTTTGGTCATTCTGACTTTGAGGTGGAACCAGAAGTTGCAGATCTGGTGAATAAAGTGGATGAAGACATGCTGTCACAGTTTTTTTTCACAGAAATTGCTGTAAACATTTTGAATCAATGTAGGACATGGAGGCAGCCAGGATGACACACCTAAGCACTCACAAAAATAGGACTTCCAGAACTTCTTCCAAATGTGGCAAGAAAGGTGGATCAGGTGAGTTAGAAGTGAGGGGGAGTCCGTGGTTGAGGTTTGGAGATATTTTTGTCACATGGGTAATAAAGTTTTTAGGTCATGTAGTTATTTCAGTGCTTGTCTTAATCTTTACAACAGAGCCTATCCTTGAAATCCTTATTTTAAGTCACAGTCCATTCTCTAATTCTCTTGCACCCTTCCTTACATAATTTATAACTATCAAATGTAAGACAGTTTACATTTATTTATTTCTTGCCTGACTCTTTCAAGTAGAATATAATCTTTCTGAAGCATGGATTTTTGGCAGCACAATGGTGGAAAAATATCAACCATGGAACTGTAAGTAATCTTACATTTGTTTTAAACAAGCATTGAGGGCTGGGGGTTTAGCTCAGTGGCACAAGTGTCTGCCTGGCAAGCACAAGGTCATCAGTTTGATCCCCAGGTACAAAAAAACAAAAACAAAAACAAAAAAACAAGTATTGATACGGGCATTAAACACAGTGGCCTACCCTATATTCTTGCGTATTTCCCTACCTCTACCTCTGATATATTTCCTTTTTGCTATTAGCATTATTAGTCTACTGAGCAGTTATTTATTGAGTATAATGGCTTTGCATACATTGGTCTAACAGGCAGGGATCATTCATTATTAATTGCATATTACAATGAAGAAATTACTCAGAGAGTAAGGAAAACTCCCTAAGCAAATGGAGATATATGGGGCAAAGCCAGGACCTGTATGCAGGTCTATTTCAATAGAGGGCCTGCTTTCTTTACCATTTTTCTCTCTTGTATGGAAAGGCAGTTCTGTGAGCATCCCATAGTAACTGGGCTTTGATGACCTTACTATAAAAATTTGCCATAACAATTCTGTAAAGCAAATGTTTTCTCTGATTGCTGTCTATTCCTTATCACTACATAACAACTTGTGTACTGCTTGCCTTAGTAAGAAAAAGGAGGAATCAAAAAGGGGAACTGATTAGTAAGGGAACAGGGACAGTGTGATTTCCCTAGAAATTTAAAATAATCAATAGCTATGACTCATTCATTATAGTACAGCAAACAGCACCTGGACCCAAGAATAAAGCCACCTGTCATTGCTCAGGATGGTTCCAAGAATGCAACATCCACTGATAGCAATGTAGGCAAAGAGAGAACACCCCAGAGGGAGAGATGGTCTCGATGGACCAAGTTCGGACCCTAAATCTGTGTTCTTCCACATGTGTGTGTGATCTTGGGCAAATCACAAAATGTATGTGTGATCATGGGCAAATCACTAAATGTCTCTGAGCCTTGGTTTTCTTCTCATTGGTGAAAGAAAGTAATAACATCTACTTCAAAGGATAGTTTCTGTTAGTTTTGGATGAAATAACAATGCATGTTACATGAAATGTCACACTGTCCTGCTAATAATCTTGGTTTAGTCCAGAAAAAGAAAAATTTTAAAAAGCTGTCTGAAAGCCTCCTATTGTGAGTATCCACTGGAGAATATTTTCTACCTCAATTTCCCTTCTAATTCCAAGAAATCCTCTAATCCCACTCTCTGCAGGACTGACTCCATCTTTATAATTCGAGTGTAAGCTGCCAGTCCTGGCTCCCTAGCTATAGGGTGGATCCAACAGACCTCCTACCCAGCACTTGAAATTCTGAATTTGGACCTGGTTGGCCCCATCTTGCACTGGGGAGAAGCAGTTCCTGAGAGAAAGGGGAGCAGAGATGAGAAGCATATAGATTCCTGCTTCCAGCTTCTCTGACACCTGGCACCACAGCCTGGTTAGGTTACATGATTTCCCTTTCTATATAGGCTTTTCAAAATCTAGTCTTTGTCATGATCAGTAAGGATTGTTATCAATTGGATATGACGAGCATCGGGACCTGGTTCTACAACATCTAGGTTGGTGAACTTAAATACTGTGATAACATTGTGTATGCAGAAGTCCCACGAGATGATGTCAGTTTTAGGAAGAAAGAAAGCAGTGTGTTTTATTTGAGGGGTTAACAGATAATCACATGGAAGTTACACATAGATGCCTAGAAATGACCGCAGGGATAAGTCATATATCTACAGATGTGGTAAAGTTGTAAGTTATTTGGTTCAAGACATTAGTTTAGAAACTGAACATATCAAATACTATAATTTTGGGCTACCATGGGTAGTTTTTTAACTGTTTATGGACCTTAGGGCCTTTATACTTATTTTTCAGATTTATTTTCTGCTTAGTTTTGTTCATTTCAAGTCTACTATCCCTACTAGATTTTCATGTAGTAAAAGCTAAATTTCAGCAGGTTAGAAATAATTCTGGATCTGACTTCGTTTGGTAAATGACATGAATGACCTGCTCAGTTTTCAGTCACAAGCTCTGAAGTCTCCAAGTCCTCTTTCTCTGGTTGTCTCTGCTGATCCATCAGCAGTGCATGGCCCAGCTCAAATGCATTCGCTCCTCCTCCTCCTCCATAGCTCCCACACTGTCTGGGTCTCCATTGTTTCCTGTGGTCAGCTACACTGCCTCTCTGATTTCACAACTTCTCTTTTCTTGTCCATTCTTTCCATGCCTCAAAGAGCAACATTTCTGTATATGAGAGTCTATTTATTGCTCTTCCATTTAGTAAAAATCTCTGGGTTCCCATCATACTTGGAATAAAAATTAAAATTCCTTATTTGAGCTGTCATGGGCCCTCTGTCATCTGGTCCCTCCCAACCTTAACTCACTCTATTTATTCTCTAATGGTAGTGCAGCCACAGGGAATCTTTCAGGCCCTGGGACAAGCTCCTTCCTGTCTCGGACTTGGGTCTTTGCTGGTCCCTCTGGCTGGAATCCTCTCCTGAATGTCTGGTCTTCCACTTCACTATGGTATATAAAACTTCTACACTGCACTGAGGTTTTCTCTAACAACCCTTTTCAATGGAATTACTCCCGCAGTTATGGCTAGCCTGTTACCTTGTTTCATTTTCTCCAATGTCCTCAGAATTTTCTGAAATTGATTCATATTTGCTTTGCTTCTCCTAATTAAAGAACAAACTTCAAAATAGCAAGGACTGTCTCCCACACGTCCCTGTCATGTCTCCCCATTTTACCCAAATTGCTTTTAAAGAAAATACATCTGGTCCACAGTAGGGTCTGTCAATAACTGAGTGCTGTGGAACAGAGACGGCAGGAAGAGCTCAGCAAGGCGCACAATGATACAGGAACTGGCTGTCTCCAGATGGGTGTGACTGTGTGTGTTCTATATATTTGACTTATTAATCAATTCTATCAATTCTTTACGTTATAAAAATAGCTTTGTAACATTTGTAACAATGTAACATTTGTAACATTAAGAAGACAAAGCAATATATTAATATGAAATGTTCATCGTTGCACTACTATATTTCATTTTTAAAATTCTCAGTAATTTTCAGTTATCCCCATGCTTGCTAAGCACTACATTACACATGGATAAGAAATGGATGCTCTCAGTTGTACCTGAACCTTTTTGTTCTTGTTACGCACATTACATATACTAAAAAACTGTAATGAAGCATAATTTTTGAGCTAATTTTTTATTGCAAAAGAATTAGGCTATTTCCAATGAATCCCTGATTGCTAAACATTTAGGTTTTTTTTTTTCCCAACTTCTTATAGTTCATTCATATATTAGAAATCACAGAGGTAAGGGGCTGGGGATTTAGTTCAGTGGCATAAGCACCTGCCTTGCAAGCAGGTGGTCATGAATTCGATCCCCGGTACCGATAAAAAAAAAATTAAATTAAAAAAAATCACAGAGGTTTATAAGTTGGTGCTAGAAACAAATCAACCGAAAAGGCAGGCCAAGGACAAAATTCTGAGGAAGACCTGAGTTCCAGAGAGTACGCTCTGGGCTGCCTCAGAGCCTCCCTGTCTCCCGGGTACATGGCCAAGTCTTAGCTTCCAGGGAACTCTTTCACCCTCGCTCTCTATTTAACACTGAATTGGGGAACCATCTGGCTCTACTGTTGGTGATTTTTTTTCTCCTTTCCTCCCTTTTTTCTTTGCTACAGAAATTTTAATTGCCTCCTCTTAACCCAGCTTCAAAGACAAGAATGGGAGGTTAAAGCCCTTCAACCGGAATCTTTTCACTGGCATTAGGGGACTGGCAAGGGAACAAGGGACAAGAAGTCTTTCTTTTCTCATACACATGCAATAGAACAGGAAAAATCTTTAGATAATCTGGCAGGGGGAGGGTAAAATACGTCTTTATTTTTATAAGAGCAACTTAACTGAAGTCAAATGTGACTTTAATAGAGAAAGGTAAGGTGCATGAAAAATATGCAGTTATGATGTTTAGTGGGAGTAAGACATTGGGCCTCAGGTCAACCAGAATACAGGAAAGGCTACCTTTGTGCCTGCTCTGCATACAGTGGGTGGCAACAATCACTTTAGTAATTCCTAGAAAATCTCAGCAAGTCTGATCTCATGATTCAGAAAAAAGACATTAAGGCTGGTGCTCAGTGCTCAGTATGTACAAGGCCTTGGGTTTGATTTTCAGAACTGGAAAAAAAACTAATAACAATAAAAATGACATTAAAGTCTCAATGAAAACTCAAATGAGGTTTGCTCATGAGTCCTAGCTTAGGATGTGGGCTAAAGGAAAAAATAGCTTGTTCCAAAAGTCTCTGAAAACTGCTCAAGAGGAAGGAAATCATAAAGCACACTGTGTGAGGACCAGCAGAAAGTCTGTCCACCTGGAATGGAGCTGGTCCAAGGCATCCTTCAGTTCAGCAGCAGCTTCATGGACATACAAACAGAGCAGGAGTCTATCTTATTCAGCCTTTGTCTCCTGGCTCAATATAAGAGTCTGCACAACTTCCAAAACACCCGTTAGAAATCAATAGTTGACCAGGATCCGTGAGGTGACAGGCTGAAGTCCCACAAGGACAGTCCTCAACCCGACCTGGGCTGCAGCAGGCCTTATCAATCATGACCTGTGGGCAGATGCATCACTTTCCCTCTCAGAGTTTCAGCTTCCTTATCCATAAATGAGGGTAGGAACTCTTTAACAGTAATCTCTGCAAATACTACAGATAAACATCACTTGCCTAGTGTAGTGCTTGGCATGAAACAGATGCTCAGCAGATGCTAGCTGGCCGCAGGCATTAGTTTAAAGGGAGACATAGCACTCTCGTATACACCCTCACTTGGATGCATTTTTTCTTTTTATTTTATTAGCTCATTTTAGATACACACCGTGATAACATTCGTCATAGGAATTTGTACCTGTACATAATATATTTTGCTTCTCTTTCTTCTCATTTCCTTCCTCCCTGCAGCCCCACTTTCCCTCTTTATATACAAAAGCTTTGTTTCTAGATTTTCCCTCTATTCTTTTTTCTTGTCTTCTCCCCTTGCCCCCTCCTCATATGATGCATTTCTACTAGTCACAACATCAACATGTTTCCATATAGGTACAAGAATATCAGTGGTAATCAATGATTGTCAAGTTAATAAAAGCGAAATAAAATGTCATCAACATGCCCTACAATGCAAAAAAGCAGAGTCTTTAGACACAAGCACACTCCCAGGACAATGTTGAAAGTCACATGAACTTTTTATAATCATTTATTTCACTATATAAGTAGCTCTTGAAGAGCTGATGGGTTTGTTGAAAAGAACTTAGAACATGGCTTCAATTAGGCTATCCAGCATCGTAAAGTAATGCTACAATCATGTCATGCTGATTTCAATAGAAAAGTAAGAATGAGAAAGGTCACAGACCAAGAATTAAAGAAAATGGAATAAGCAGGTTTCAAGAAAGGTGTTTCCAGTACTCCTGTCCCTGTACTGTTTCCCACCCTGGGTAAACAGCAGTTGATGGTGTTCTAGGAAGTGGATGCTCCACAAAAATCTGGAGACCGGCCATGGGTGCACGACAAGCTCACTGTAAGGCAGTCACCACAGGAACTTTCTACTGCAGTATACGAGTAAAGTGAGTTCTTTGACCTCATACAGAAAAGGAAAGCAAATCTAATACAAATTGAGCATCCCTAATATGAAAATTCAAATTCTAATTCTAAAAGGCTACAAAACCTGAAACCTTTTAAGTACTGACATGAGATCAAATAGAAATTTCTACACCTGATCTCATGCGATGGATCACAGTCAAAACAGAGGTGCGCTAAAAATACTGTATAAAATTACTTTCAAACTGTGTGTATGAGATATATACGAAATGTAAATGAATTTTGTGTTTAGACTAGGGTCCCATCCCCAAGATATTTGGTGATGTATTTGAAAATACTTCAAAATCTGAAATCTTAAACACATCTTCTCCTTAGCATTTGAATAAGCAATTTCAATCTGTAGTTGGATGAGACACCTCAAGTTCAAATGTGTTTTCAGGCTCTAGGGTTAAACTGGCTCCCTGCAAGGTTTTTTCTGCAGCCACTCACCCCGCCCAGATCTGCATGAATTTAAGCAGTACCTGCAAGAGCCCAGTAGGCGGTGCCCACACATTCATTTAGCAGGACAAAGGCCACCAGCGACATCCCTCCATTCATCATGCCCACCAAGAAGCGGGTTATTGTAAAGAACTCATATGAGGGTGAAAATCCATTTGCAATAGCAAATAAGATGTCAAGAGCAAAACCTAGAAAGAGAGAAACAATATTCAGTCATCCAGAGGCAAAACAGCAGTTGATGAAAGTAATAAATTATATTCATTAGTTTGTAAAATAAAGCCTCATACAACAGAAATTTCCTGAGCTAGTTTTTTTTCTAAGTCTGCCTTGAAAACTAACAAAATGCCCAGGTTTGCTTTCTTTGTTTCACAATTTCTGTCAATCACAATTTTTTCAACCATTCATAACAGCACTAGAAACTGAAAATCTTAGCCCACACTCAGCTTGACGATCGAACTATGCCAAGCTCTGCAGCGTCATTTGAAACGAATCAGCACCCGGAGATGTGAAGAACACACCTTAGAAGACTGTCTCCATCTTTCGCTGCCTTCCTTGGAAACACAGCATCAACTGCAGCTTAGGGATTGCAGACAGCACCATCGCTTACAGAACAGTTGTTAACACAAGTCTCTGGCCTTCACCTGGTGGACTGGTCACTGAAAACCACCCGGTCAGAATCAGCTCTTACTATAGTGCACTTTCTCACCAGCAGAAGGGAAATCAACTCAGTCCCTACACACCAATTCTCCAAGAGGAAACAGTCCCCTTACCATTTCCTTAAGAATCTTAGGAAAACAAGATCTCTTACTTAGTTCACGAACACTCTGATTGGATACCTGTGAGATAGACTTTTTTCCTTCCAAAGCGATCTGACAGTTGACCAAAAGAGATGACTCCGACAAACACACCACTGAAGAAAAAGGAGCTGGCGGCACTGACTTTGTAAGATCTACTGGCAATTAAAAACCACTAGAGGAAGAAAAAAATAAAAGAGAACCTTTTAGATCACAGGGGGAAAATGGATGGAGTTAGCTATTAAAAAATCAACATACAGTCAGATGTAGCAGTGCACACTTGTAATCCCAGCACTTGGGAGACTGAGACAGGAGGATCACTGTGAGTTCGAGGCCAGCCTGGGCTACTGTCTGAACTCCATGGTAAAACTCTATCAAAACCCCAAAGACAAAACAAAACATATCACAAATGTATGGATGCTGTAACTTCAACATATGTCCCACTATTAACCAGAATGTGGTAGAGGATCCATCTTAAATAACATTCAGAGCCCGGATAATCAGAAACAACAGAAACTATTGTTATTGTGTAGTTCTACCCCACAGGACTCTACACAAGTCTCATTACAGAAGTACACACAGCATGTAGAAGTAATTATGTAATTGTTGACCATCCCTCACCCCAAGTCCCTGTGTTTTCCGAAAGTAAGTGCCCTGTATCTTTCACTTCCATTTCCCTGATGTCCTTGAATCCTATAGCATACAGAAGCAACGAATGAACCATCCTTTTGTTCAACAGATTAGTATATTTAAAATTCCTTGAGTATATGCCTTGAAAAAAATTAAACATTTAAATCAAATTATCCAATAACTGCACTTGTGTATATATGTCCCAAAGAATTGAAAGCAGGGGCACAGAAATGTATTTGAACATGAGTATTCAGAAACATCACTCACAGCAGTCAAGGTGAAAGCATCCAGCATCTATCTATCAGTGGATGAATGGATAAACCAAACAGGCTGTTCCTACAGAGTGCAGCAATACTCAGTCTGGAACAGGAATGAAGTTCAGATTCATGCTACAACCTCAATAACTTTGAAAAAATTATGCTAAGTAAAATAAGCCAGATACAAGATAAAAATTTCATGATTCCGTTTATATGAGGTACCTGCAAGAGTCAACTTTACAGAGACAGAAAGTAAAACAATGGTCACCAGGGCAAAGTAGAAGGGGGAATAGGAATCACTGTTTAAAGGAAGAGAGTTTGCATTTAGAATGGAGAAGTTGTGGAGACAGACAGTTGTGATGGCTGCAAAACAATGGGTGAATGCACTTAATGCCCTTGAATTGTACACTTAAATGCAACTAAAATGGTAAACTTCAGATCATGAATATTTACTACAATTTAAAAAAGTAACTATCTTCTACTTTTGGGCAACTTACAAAAACAATCACCCATTTCTTCAAGCACTAATACTGGAAACCTTGCCTAGTAATGAGTTAGCGGTGTTTGGTTCCAAGGATAAAAGTGTACCTGTGTCACAGAGGTGATCTCGGAGTGCACCAAGACCACTCACTTTTCCTCTATCCAGTACTCTTCCATATAGCAGCAACACCAGGTGTCTGTAAGATGATACCGTCCTCAATTGCCTTCTCTACCCTCCAAACTTCTTTCCTAGACTTTGAGACCAGCCCTTATGGCTCAAGCGCACATCTGATTTCTCTCCTTCCTTATGTTTGCTGTAAGCCTGGTCTACTGGGAATCTGACAACACAGCTTCTGGACATTTCTGCGCCACACATACAAAGACTAAGGAGCTGGGAAAGAGATAAGAATGACACCACCACCCCCACTAATTCTGTACTTATTTCTGAATTTGTCCATTTTTAACAAGATTAAACAACTGGTTTTGTTAGCCCTTTCAATAGTTGGAATGTTAGTGTCACCCAAAGATCCAAGTATCAAAGGCTTGGTTCCGGAGTAGTGAACCTGGGAGGCAGAGGGACTTTTGGGGGGGTGGGGGTTAGCAGGAGGGCCGCAGGGTACTGGAGGAGTTCTCATTCAGGCTACAACATCAGTGAAGGAGACTGTGGAATCCTGGCCCTTCCACTTCCCATTCTGTACCCTGGTCACGAGGTAAGTGGTCCACCTCACCTCTAGCCTCCCACCATCACTGCCATCCAATACCCAATGGGCATCTAAAGACAAGGGGCTCACTTTACCATGAGTTTTAATTTCTAAAACCATGAGACAAAAAACCACCTTTTGTTTTGAGAATGAGCTAAAGCATCTTGTTATAATGACAGATGGCTGCCAGCAAAGAAAAGGAGCAGTGCACAGTGGGGCCACTGACCACCTGACAATGTAGAGAAGCCTTCAGCAGGCTTATCAGAAGACACAGGGAGAGTTTAAAAGAACAGGCTGGGAAACACATAGAAAGCTGTAAGCAGAGTTTAGTGGGCAAGTTGGTGGCAGCTCAGAAGACCAGAATGTTGATAGAAATGTGGATAGTAAAGGTTATATTAATTTGGTTTCAAATGGAAATGAGGAATCTGCTGGGAGCTGGACTAAAGGTTACCTTTATCAGAATGGAAAAAAAAAAAACTCTGCATGTATTTTGTTCATGTCTTGAAGCTTTATGGAAGGGAAAGCTTAAAAGTGATGGATTAGTTATCTGGTGGAGAAAATTTCAAAGCAGCAAAGCATTCGAGCTGCGGCATGAACTGGGATGAGGAAGTAAAAATCTGGAAAGAGCCCGAGTCCCAGCAAACACTGTGGGGGGGGGGGCGCCTGAGTACTGGTCTATTTTGTGATGTTAGAGCTGGCAGGAGTTGCTGAAGGAGGAAGGTGGCAGCCGGAGGAGGGAAAGGGAGCCAGTCACCTGGGTTTTTAGCCTTAGCCACTCAGTGGGTGGTTGTGACATTTATGGAGATGGAGAAGGTGGAAAGGGTGTTGGGTATACAGCTGAAAATCAAGAGTCCTGTTTAGAGATTCTGAAACAGAGCACAACTCTAAAACATGTATGTAGATGCCAGGCAGGCATCTGGATATGAGCTCAAGCTCATGGACAGGTTATACAGGTTTACGAAACTCAGCAGAGAAGGCTCGGGACTAAGGCTCAAAACAATTCTACATTCAGAGGCTGAGCAGAAGAGAACCATTGTAGAAAACTTACAAGCACAACTCAGAGAGAAAGCAAGAAAACAAAGGAAGCATGACATCATAAAAGCCACAAAAGGAAATCTGACGCAGGCAAGAGGGAGAAGTCAACTAAGATAGGAAAAGAGATACGACACGTCTACCTAGAAACAAAGGGGTCACTTAAAAATGCACACTTTAGCTGAGTGAGAATGGAATCCAGACTGGAGAATGCTAAACTGCAGGAAAGTGAGGAACTATAGAGAGCAGATGTGTGCAAAAATGGTTTCAAGATATTTTGCTATGAAGGACCGCTAAGAAATGAGATAGTATCTCAGCAGGAAGGTGGGCTCCCAGATTAGTGGTGTTTTTTCAGATATAGTATATGGGTGAGATTGTATGCTGATGACAGCAAATCTGTAGAGAAGGTGTGTTTGTAGGAGAACAGTCCTTGACAGAGTAGTACAGTTTGGATCTTAAATGTCCCCCAAAGGTTCATAAACTAAAGACCTGGTGCCCAGTTTGTGGCACTATTGGGAGATGAGAGAACCTTTCCTTTGTCATATCTCCTACTATGGCATAGTGTCTCACCATAGGTCTGAAATCAACAGGGCCAAATGATCATGACCTGAAGCCTCTGACACCATGAGGTAAAATTAATTCTTCCTTTGATATAAGGTATTTTGTTACAACAACAGAAACGTGGCCAACACAAAGAGCAAGAAGGAATGGTCTTGAGTATATGAAAGTAGAGAACATAGCCTTTATTAGAAGCAGGGAGACTGACCCTGTACAAGATGAGGGACAGAAGCTGGGTTGAAAGACAGGAAGTAAAGAGATACCTGATGACATCTGGGCTTCACTTTTATTCTGCAGTTAAGTACTAAGTAGGCTCACCAGTTAGAGAGAAGAGAAGTTGTTATGAATTAAGAACTGGTGGTCAACTTAACGCCAGCTGGGTTACACCAGCATGCAATGAGCAAAGATGCTCCACCTGAGGAGGGTAGCCAGGATAAATAGGTGGAGAAGAAGGGAGGTGTAGAGGGTTGAGGCGTTAAGGAGGCATTGTGGGTTCTCCTGGAGAAGCCTTGGTCCTCACATCGAGCATTGCTTCCTGGCTCTGGAGGGAAGGACATGTGCTGCTTGGTCTCCAGGATGAACCCGTCACGCTGCTTCCTGGCATGTACCCGGCTGTGCTTGTCATCGGAGGAGCTTGGGGCCTCCATGTCGCTGAGGACAGCTGTGGTGCCTTCAGGACAGCCCTGGTCTTTGTTGTGAGTATGACTTCCCGGCTCCAGCGTAGAACCCTCATCCCACCAGCACAGCTCCTTCATCCTGCTGGCATAGACTTTCTGGCTTCCACCGCTGACCCTTGGGTCTTCCCAGCACAGATCCGTAAAAGAGACTGGCGTGAGTCCTTCTTGTGGGCTCTGGGCCTCCAGTTGGACTCATGGGAGGCATTGTCTGAGCTCTGGGTTTTTATCTGGGACTCATGTGGGACATGTGCTGTGGGATTTAGGCTCTTGACTAAATAATCTATGTCTTTGGTGTTGTAGATAGAGTTCCTGCATTTTCCTGTGTTAACTCCCAGTGACCATTATAAAAATATTATAAACTCCATGTCCTGAGCCTAATTGTTCTCTGTGTACAACCCGGACTACAACAGAAGTGTAGCAGGAGTTAGAAGTTTAGGGAGGAAGATGGAAAAATATTTCCATAAGGGTCAGACACGGCACCATTCAAGGGAAAACGTACGTGATGGCCAGCCTATGCCAAAAGCTCACTGGCATTTTGTAGCTATTGGTTTTAAAAGAGGAGGTACACAGTTTAAAATGCTATGGAGTGAGAGAGGCACCAATTGAAAGTATTTGCATAGATGTGCTTATTACACAAATAGGATATATACTGGGCATGGAAAAAAAGACATAAGGGGGGATAGTAGACAGTTGTCACTGTTTTAAAAAAATCTCTATAAGTTCTTTTCTACATTGCCTATTCTTCCCCTAATTGAAACTTCATTAATCCCTAAGACAATAACTTGGTAACCTAAGACATTTTCAAATGAAGGCTGTTTTTCCCTTTTATATATATGGACA